CTTCACCCGGCAAATACAGCGCTACCTCAGCGCGGTAAGTCTTCAGGGTCGTAATTTAAAAATTACTATGATTTTGAAGTTTACTTACTACGCGAATCTTAATGACGTGGGAAAAGCCTGTGTTTGGTGGGGTGAAGCAGGAGTGGTATGCCCTATACTACTAACAATCCCTGAAGAGTACATGTGTGAAAAGGCTGGTCTACAAGCCCCAGATCTATCAGAATTTAACGTAACAATTCCCTGTGATATCTCTTTATCAGAATATCAGAACAAAACCAATAAATGCTCTGATAACTTTGTAAAGAAGTGGAGTGCCAACCGAGCTGATTCCACTTTATGCAGGTTTGTAAACATTTATACTAATTTAAATAACTATTGTTATGGACTGACTAGCGACTGACTAGCCTTGTTCATGTGGAAACACAAACTAAAGTGTTTTTACGTGTATGTGAAGCTAGTCAGTCCAGAACAATAGGTATTCAAATTGGTCACCATATTTTGATTAAGTATTGGATGTATTGGAAAATATTGTACTCATGTACATTACAGTGCAAAGCCGTTTTATTTTAATCTGCTCATGTGCAATAACATTACACTTGTCACCATGGCAGACTTGGTATGTTTGATAGATAGCAAAAATGACCAAAGCAGAAAAAGAAAGTGGAAAAAATAATTTGAATGAAAAAAACAATTTTTGAACTTAGTTATCACAAAATATAGTGCTTTGTTAGTGGCTCTGATCTCTCTCAACTAACAAATCACAATATTTTGCTCAACCTTGTGCAATAATTGTTTATTTAATCAACTTGAATCTTGAGAAGTGTCTGTTGATCATAATCATTCTTTAAAGGGGCACTTGGATGAAAACGCCCCAATTTTTGAAAGTCCGAATAATTGAAGTATTCGAGGATAACACATAACAAGCCGCAAGCCCGATTTTATTGCGTTTGGGCGCATTCAGATCTGCATGTTTGGAATATTTCTGGGGGATTAGGAGTGGGGGAAGTGTGAATCTTTTGTTTTATGGCCAGCAGGACGCCTAACTGGAAAGACCGCTTCATATTGAAAGTCCTTTCGTCAGCTCATTAAAAGCTGTCACTTTTGACTGAACGTTGAAGTTGCTTTCCGACTGATT